CGGGGGGCCAGGGCCGGGCAGGCAGCGCCAGCGCCACAGAAAGGGTCGTTTTCCTGGAAGGGAAAAGTTACTGAATCGTAGGTGTTGATCAGCTTGTGAGTGTTGCGGATATACTTACAGATTATCCTTCCAGAAAGGAAGTTTAGTTTAAAGTTTTATACTTACAGCCATGAGAGACTGCCTGTGATCCGCGGCTGGTGTTAAAACAGGTCTTCAAAAAGTGGTTCCCTTTCTTTACCGCAATGTCAGTGGCATGTACGTATGGATGGATGCCGTGTCGGGGCCGTCTCTTACGTCTTGTTTTGAGTGTGAATCATAAGCCTTTTGTGCAAGGACTTTGTTTTGTGTTGCTACAGCACAACTGGCCCAGTGAAGTCCTGATCCACAACAAATATACCTAAATTTTCAGGCACCAGAGAGCAAATTTATGATTAATTTGCTCATCCGTATTCTTCACAGGAGCAGTTCAGAGTTGTCATTTAATGTGCATGTTTTTTTCCTCTTTTGGAAAAAGTACAAAGCAAATATGGCTTTGATGTGATTCTTTTAGGCTTATTTGTTTCACCTGTGCTGAGTTTTCCTCCTTCTGTTTTCCTTCAGAAAAGCCATGCTCTTGCTAAAGAAGAAGCGTTACCAAGAGCAACTTCTAGATAAAACAGAAAACCAAATCAGCAACTTGGAGCGGATGGTAAGCGAGAATCAGTTGCTGTACGCTGCGAGCGGCCTGCTGTGCGTTTGGTATAAGTCTTTTTTCTGGGGTGGGTGTTCCTTTTGATTGTGTGGAATTGTATTTTAACTGTCAAGTCCTAATGGGAGTTTAGTCCTCTGCCGGAAGGGCAGATGTCTCTGAAATCAAACATATGCTGCGACTCTTCCCTAAAGAACCAAGTAGTGAGTATGTTTTGAGTCTGTAGTGCAGGTTACATATCAAATACGTGTTTTGTAAATTAGTAAAACTTCAGTCACAGTGTGGACAGCTGCAGTAGAAACTTCCTCAGGCGTGCCTCGGTACCTTGATTTTAGAAATGAATGTGTTTGTTCTGGGGTGGCCGTGGAAACTATGGCCTCAGCTTAGACTGTCAGCGGGAAAATCAGTTAAAGGGCATTGGATATACTTTTGCAGCTGCCTGTGTTAGAGCTTTTTGTGAGCATGTTTCTTGCTACTGGTATGCTTTAAGCCGCTGCTTGCTGGAGAAAGGGCTCTTGACTGATTTTTCCTTGCAGTTTCTGTGGGGATCTTGGCAGTCTGTGTCTGGCTAACAATGGGAACGTGACAGCCTGTGATGCTTCCCCCTCTCCTTCCTGTTTCAGGTCCAGGATATTGAATTCACCCAGATTGAAATGAAGGTCATTGAGGGTCTGAAAATAGGCAATGAATGTCTGAACAAAATGCACCAGGTATGTGTGGCCAAGTCAGCTGAGCACACTCTTGCCTTGGACTACGCAGAGTCCTGGGCGTTTGTGGCTGTCTCCCCGCAGGCCTCACTCAGGCATGGGTTTTTGGCTCTTTTATTCAGGTTATGTCAATAGAAGAAGTAGAAAGAATAATAGGTGAAACCCAAGATGCTGTGGAGTACCAGAGGGTATGTACTGCGTGCATGAGTAGTTGTGAACAGAGACGCCTGCCATACAGAGTTTCTCTGATGTGCACTATGTTCCCACCTTGTTTTAGAGGCAGTCACATTGGGAATTCCATCTCAGTTGCTAGTTTTCCACATACCCTTCATGCTGTGTTTACATTGCTCTCCCGTGTGCATGCACCATGCTACAGGCCATAGAGCTGCTTCTGCTACACTGTTGTTGACTGGAATATGTCTTTTCTCTGTTTCATAGCAAATAGATGAGATACTGGCTGGCAGCCTGACTGAGGAAGATGAAGATGCCATTTTAGAAGAATTAAACACTATTACTCAGGTAGGACTAACCTGATGTTTTTGTAATTACTTTTAATCCACATTTTCAGAAGGCTGTTTGTAACAGGGGAGAAAGTATCTTTTTCCTCACAGTCAATAGCTTATCTTATTCTGCCAGAGATCTCAATCCTACCTGTTTGTGCCCCATTCCTGTGTCATCAAAGATCAAGCTAATCACTCCACACATAGGGGTCATTTAAAAATGGGGTGCTTTTAAGGGTTGTACTTTATTGTCTGTTACAGTCAGATGATCTCTGTTCTTATTGGATATCTATTCCGCTTCACCAGATGAAGATCTTGAAAGTCCTGGATCACGCTCAGATAACAGAAGTCAGTCTCTGTTATCATCCCCACCCATCTCTGTGGTGCCTGTGGGTCTTCCAAACACTGGCTTGGCTTGGCTTCGCTGTAGGAAATGTCCAGCCAGTGGAGATGGAGGTGGAGCGGCTCTGCAACTAGCATTGATTTGAGGAGATTCATAGCTATTCATAGGGTCCTATTAAGTCTCATTTAATAATTAAAAAACCCCCTTGTTTTCATTTACGGGGCAGCACTGAAGCCCGTAACCCTTCCTGCAGTTCTGGGGGCAGATGTCTGTATGTAGAATCTCTTATTATTATTCTGTTCACAGTCTGTCTTTGCACAAAACCGTGGTGCAAGGGTCTGTGACCGGCGTCTGGTACGTGGGGTATGTGTCATGTATTGTCTCTAATGTTCTTGCAGGAACAGATGGAGCTTCCAGAAGTTCCTTCTGAGCCACTCCCAGAAAAGATCCCAGGTACGCTTCCTTCATATGCTCTGCAGCTTTGGCTTCTCATAGCAATAGTCTGAGACCCTCTCCTATTGTAAGTATTGTCCTAGCAGATGTGGAGGAATATAAACTTTCTGGTTAAAAGCCCTGTTGATCTGGGCTATGCAAGCTTCCCCCACGTGGCTCTGACAAATCCAGCTGACCCTTTACTGTAAGAGGACCCAAGGCTCTAGTCTCTTTGTTCAGTCGGCATCTAGTCATTCCTCTTGAAGAGTTCCTTTTTGTTACATCTGCTGTTTTTAAGTCACGCTTTGTACCTGCTGTGAGACTACCAGCTGCCTTGAACCACCCAGTGTATGTTCCATTGTGAAGCTTCACGAGGAAGTCCTTCCTTGGCTCTCTGCTTGACCCAGGCAAGACTTTCTTGTGTGACACTCACACTGGTCCCCTGCTTGTCATCGCCACCTGCTGCTACGCAGGAACTATTTTTTGTGACCACAGATATTGGCATTCACACTGCACAAACCTGGATTTCAGCAAGGTTCGTGACGACTAGCCACTCTTGTGACCTTGCTTCAGGTAACAACGGTAATTTTGAACCAGCTGGATGAGGATCGCTGGAGTCCCACAATTCCAAGACTGTTGGAGCGTGAGCTCTGCACAACTGATACTACACGCATGTTTGCTCCTGAGCGATCCAAAACCTCAGCGGCAGGGTTTGTGACCAAACGAGTGCTGTTGGCCTGTTGCCTGGTGAGGAAGGAGTCTTCACAGGGCGTTACCCGATGTCTGTCCATGCTGAAGAACTGAAGGTGGAGCCTGCCTGTGGAGGCAAACAGTGAGGTGGAGCCGGACTCAGCTGGGTGCCAGAAGGCAAACTGGTAAAGAGTCTGTCTCCTGGGACAGCAGAACACTGAACGTCGGTCGCAGAAGCTGGACGTTCCTGCTTGTCGAAACCAGGAGCTGTAAGAAGCCATTTCCTCTGTGTGGAATCTGCCCAGGAGAAATCTGGGATGTGGGATACAGGGCTGGTTTACTACTAAACGTGGATCGGATGTCATCTCTGTACATTGGCAGCAGGATGGCCAAACAAAGCACAAGCTGCCCTTGCTGCGTGCAGCCTCGTTTAGACTCGCTTTGTCAGATCGAAGGGGTGAGGGGAAAAGCGTGTCTGCCCACTGCCCTCTGAGAAAGCACTTGCTGCCCTGGGTCTGTGTCGCTGGGCTGGTGGCTTACTAAGGTTGTGTCGGGTACATTCTGAAACTGTTTTAATTCTTCAAATGCTGTGAAAAAGAGGGGCATACTGGATATGTGGAATTATTTATAACAAACTTTTTATTAGTTCAGGTGCTGTGCAAGCATTTGTGGCTCTACAGAGGAGTGGATTATGAGTCCTAGTTCTTCCGCAGGAGATGACTGGAGATTATTTGCGTTCTCTGTTTCTGTAACAAGTTTCTTTTTCTTCCACAGAAGCGTCACCCGTGAAGAACAGGCCAAAACCAGAACTGGTGGCAGCATCTTAACTCCCACTTCTGGGGATTCCCCCACATAACTTTCACCCAGGACAGTTTGCCATCCCAGCGTGTGCTGGGAACAAGCAATGCCTTGGCAGCATCCCAGCTGTGCTGGGCGGATTGAGGAGCAGGATTCCCTGTGCAGCTGATTATTGCTCTTGTATCAAGATTATTTTCTAGTGCTTTCTTTTTTTGTAACTTAAATTCTAAACTCACTCAGCTGCGCTGTCTCGGGATTAAACAACAACTCTAAAACTTCCGAAGCCAAATGCTTTCTTTAGGTTTGATTTCAGTGGTAAATCTGCCTTTGCTCTGACTGAATCCCCAGGCAGTCCCACCCTCGGAGCCATCGTGTGTTTGAATCGGCTGTCCTGGGCGAGAACGCGGGAGCCCTCCAGACCACGCTGGTGTCTGCACTCCTCCTGGTCCCTTTGCTTTTCCTCTTCTGGTTCTGTTTGTGGAAGGGCTGCCCGTGCCTCTTGTCCTCGTGTAAATCAGACTGGCTGCTGTGTACGAGGCTCTGAAGGGGCGCGGGCAGAGTGCAGGCAGCCTGAAAGAAGGCAGCAAGCCTGAGCTTCTGCAGGCAGCGACGCTTCGTGCTACTGGTTGAAAACGGTTCTGTAAAACCAGCTTACGCGTGAGGGTGTTTCATTTGAGCGAAGTTCAGAGTGATTGCTTGGCTTTGCATTTGCCAGCAGCGGCGCTGACTGGGGGGAAAAGCCCGATCTCCCGTGCGAGGTGAAGAGCCGGGCTCTGGCCGGGCGTGAGTCAGAGGCGGTCAGTAACGGTTCCCATCCAGATCCCGCCCTGCCTGCCTGCCGCTGGTAACCCGTGGTGCCGAGTGAGACCTGGGCTGACAGAAATCTGATGAGCCTCAAAATTACAGCAAGGAGTCTTCTGCCTGTGTTACGAGCCAGGAGTCGCCCCTTGTTGGCTCTGCACCATCGTCAGAGTTCACCTTTGCAACGTTCAGATGGGCTGAGATCGATTCTGCTTCCAGTTGTCAGTTCGTGTCGGATATTTCCTCGTAGGGTCAGAGACAGGCTGGGGTAAACGTGAGGCTCGTTCTGTACCAGACATGAGGCATGAAGCTTCTTAAATCAATATTCCAAAGACTCCGCTCAATAAGTAGAGGGGAAACCAGTTCCTTCTGAGCCCACAGTTGGAGGACAGTCTGGTGCTTAGCGTGGTGTAGCGGGGCGCTCGGGTCGGCAGGATGATGAAGCGTTTGGAAAGCTGCCTGGCCAGCCAGGTGGTGGGCAGATTTAGCTGTTCTTGGAAGCAAGCTTACTTGCCAGCTTGCAGATGCTCTTCAGGACACTGCAGATCTTTATTTATTACGTTCTTGAAGCCACAACCTTTAATCCCTGTTTCTGTGGCAGCAGAAGAAGGACCAGAGGGTCCTTGGAGACTTTTAGTGACTGCCTTTGGGGTTATGTGATCTGGTGCTAGACAATAATCAGTAATCCCAGAGACTGTGCTGCTCTCCATGTGGTGATGGGCCAGCAGCAACTCTGTTTTTGAATCATGCTTTCCGTGTCATCTCCGTTTGTTACGTTCCAAAGACTGGCCAGGGGCATCCTCGTCCTCCTGCAAGGAGCAGGGCCTGGGCCTGAACCCTCCAGGCGCTTTGGAGCTGCCTTGTTTTCGATTCCACTGCACTCTCTCTTAATTAACGTTTCACAACAAAGCCGGGGTCTCACAAGCCTTGGACCCCTGTTTGCTAAGCAGTGCAACTCTAGCAAACAAAGAATTTTCTCTGAAATTGCTGGAGCGGGTTTAAACTGATCCTTGTGCCTCTGCTGAATGCACCCGTTACCCTGGCCAGTGTTTGGAACAGCCAAACCCTTCACCAGCTTTCACAGCCGGCGCTAAAACGGGAGAGGGCTGTGTCCTGTTCTGTGCTCCTGGGATTTTCTTTTTCTCTAGGCCAGGCTGTTGCTCTGCTCCCAGTTGCCATCCTGGCTGTCTTGCAACGCGCGCTCGTTCCACCAGAGAGAGCCTTGTCTTCATCAGCGCGGTGGTGTCTGTAGCATTTTCCTCAAGGCTCCTTCAGTCCGTTGCTAGCCTGTTGTCGAGTTGTTTAGTTTTACCCTATTTCATTTGTAATCCATAGGAGTGAATGCTGGATTCTCCCAATAAGGTCTGGAAGGGACCTTTCCCGGGAGCACAGCTTCTGCTGCTAGCACTTTGTGTAAACCCTGTTAAATAGGGTTGGCATGCATCACCATGGCCCAGGAGGGAGAGAGCACCGCGGTCCGTATGCTCCGGTTTTCTTCCTCATGAACATCCTGGCAGCGAGAGACACGAGCCAACCGTCCCCCGGGGAAGCTGCGGCGAGGCCGTGCCGGGTCCCGGTGGCTGCCGGCCGGGGAGCGGAACGCCCGGCGCTGTCTGCGCTCTCGCTCGGCGCTTTCCTTGCGGGGAAGCTGCTCCAGAGAGGGATGGGTCAGTGCCGAAGGGGTTAATGCAGCTCCTTGCATTTGTTAATACAGTAAAGAGGCCATTTACTGAACTAACAGGAAAGTTTGGAGCAGATTGCCAACAGCTTCCTCTTCTAATCCCTGCACCAAACAGATTGTACTGTGTCTCCTTGAGAGGAAGAG